TGGAGAAGGATGTCATGCTTGGTAGGGTGGAGGTTCGACGAAAGAGGGGGAGGCCTTCAACGAGATGGATTGACACGGTAGCTGCGATGATGGGCTCAAGAATAGCAGGGATTGTGAAGCTGGTGCGGGATCGAGCAGTGTTTCATTCTGCTGTTCCTGGGGTCGCTATGAGTTGGAAACTACTCGACGGCACCTAACAACAACAACAATAATCTTGGGAGTAGTAAAATCTTTCCCAACATGATATGAAAGCCAACAGCTTAAATAAACTGATAAAATTTGACTTTGTAAATGTTTTTAATTATATAATATCATAATTATCAAGGTTAAAAATAAGTGAAAAACTCGAGGGAAAATGCCTATAATATATGACATAGGCTTGATGTCAGTAGCAAAATGAACAAAGAACATGGACCGGCAAATCATTGAAACCAATCAAAAAACATGAACAAATACTGAATATTACCAGCAATTTTTATAAATGCAAGTAAATCAAAATACCATTTTTCAGTTTGGGATAGTTGAAACTTCCCAATCTGGTTAAGAGATGGTAAAAAATTTTCATCACTGTTAATGGTAGTAAATTGAGATGAGGAAAACATTTGTATGAGTACCTTTAGATCTGGAACTTCCACACATAGGACATTGCAGTGAGAGGATAATTAAACTAGATGAATACATGTAAAAAGATCAGCATTACAACACTGCAGTTTACTTTTTTCCTTAACTTTTTATTTTGAAGACTTAAACCTGCAGAAAACTTGAAATAATAATATACTGAACACCCATATACTTTCATGTGGGCTCACCAATTATTAACATTTGCAACCCTGGAATTTAAAATCAATTGTATGACCATCTATAGGGAATTAGCTAAAGAAATTATACAATTTGAATAATCAGCTGTAATGCTTCATATTTTTAGATGAACAGATGTCTACAACATAATAGTGAAAAATCCACAAATTATAAAACAACAGCATCGTGAGGTCTTTTTTTTTCTTTTTTTTTCTTTTTTTAATGGAACACACACACATAATAGATGCTTAAAGAATTGAGCACTATAGTGTTACCAATCACTCACTCACTGCGTTTGAGTCCATTCGACTCATAGCAACCCCTGCTTGGGGTCCTATTCCGAGACGGTATCAGTGTAGAAGTAGATTGCCCAATCTTCCCTCCCTCCCTCCCTCCCTTCGTCCCTCCCTCCAGTGGCTGGTGAGTTTCAAACCACCAGCCTTCTGGTTAGCAGTAGTTGTCCACAGATAGGGGTTTTGGATGATTTTTATTCCTAAATACTTCTGTATAATTTTATTTCTTTATAATTAATAGATGTTATAATCTGAAAAATCAAAGGTATTTTCCACTTGAGGAAAAAAATTCTAGTACCATGAATATTAGATAATTATTCACAACTACTAATAAATAAACTTGTTCTCTTTCAGATTAGACATCCCACTGCTCTAGGATTAGAAGTTGGCCAAGAAATTCAGGTACTTGTGGTCAGGTTTTTATCCTTAACATTGTAAATTGTACTTGAAATTTTTATTGTTTGTAAAAAGTAAACTGAAAGAATGGAATTAATATCTGGGTGTCTATTCGTATATAGTGCTGCTTTTTACCTTAAGGTTAAATTTATTAAAGCTTACAAACTCATTCTTGATCTGAGAGTTATTTTCCTCAAGGAGCTTGCCATTTAGTTAGAATAACAGTCAACTTTAGAGTTCTTAAAAATACATGAGCATCCAGGGTTACTGGTCTGATAGAGTCTGGTGGAACCCTGGAGACTATGGCCCCTAGTCACCCTTCAGGCCTGGAATTGAACTCAATCCTGTGGCTTTCAGCAAAACAATAGAGAGGTTCATAAGGTGAACATTTACACCATGTAGGTACACTCCTTAGAACAATCAGTCATGGGCGATCAGAAGAGCAGCATTTGCACAGGGAGATGACTCAGAGGCCAGAAAGGCATAGGAAAGAAAGACATAGGTAAGCACAGGGAGGAATTGGGAAGAGAGCTGTTACATTATGGGGATTACAGCAATGACATGAAACTAAATGTGTGTGAACTGCTGTGTGGAAAATGAATTTGCTCTGTAAACTTTCACCCCAATCACAATTTTTAAAAAAAGAGCGGGCCAGTGATGATTATGTAGAAGCAATGATCACAGACAGGACATGAGAATCCTGATAAGGTCATTTGATTGAAGGCCTTGTGTGTTGTATTTGAGGAGCTGAGACATTGCTTTTCCACTACTTGAAGCTAATAGTGTTGAGCTTGTTAAACACCATGTTGTTCAGGTTTGGAATTCTGATAACAATTGACCATTTTTTGTAGTCTTTTATGAATTGATGAGAGAAGTCATTGCCAGTCTGGTCTTTTTTTGCTGTACGACATTTTGTTCCAGTAATACCTGATACCCATGACCTGAGTATTCCTAAATGTATTCCAAATCTGTAGTCCCATTATTCAGACAGCCTCCAGGGAAATATGGGAACCAAAACATACTATTTCTTTTTTTTTTTTTTTTCAATTGTGATTTGGTTGAAGATTTACAGAACAAATTCACTATCCATACAGCAGTTCACATACACTTCGTCTCATGACATTGACCACAGTTTACCACAATGCAACAGCTCCCTTCCCACTTCCTCCCCATAGTTGCCTCTTCCCAGTGTCCATCCCTCCATACTCTTCTGCGCCCTGAGCTGTCTCCCTGT